TTTGACTCAAATTAAAATGATTTATTTCCATTTATGAGAAATTTGGAATTGAGTAGAACTCGATAGTCTACATTCATCGTCTTGTTAATTATGACGACTTCATTTCTCTTTTTAAACAGAATTAGAGGTTTCCATTCCTTTCATAATAGTAGGCTCAAATTCAATCTTCTAAAGTCTGTCCAAGGAGATTTATCCATGTTACAATTGGACTCCATACGATATTTCTAAAAGAGTTGTGCTATTTGTACAGACCCATTTGCACATAGTCTGTACAGATGCACACACATGGAGTCCACATGTAGGATCCACCCTCATGTGAGAGTCCCTGTATAGACAGGAGGTTTATTCCTTTCTAAAATTACATTCTTGAGTCGTTACATTTTGATTGACCTAGAAAAAATAATATAAAAAGATTTGTGGAGCTGCAATTAAAACAAAGCATTAATATCGACACCTAAAAATCTACGTATCCAATGGTCAGCAATATCTGTAAAGACCAATTCTACCTTGGCAATTACTACCCAACTGACCCTTCTGTAATCCTAACTGACATTAAGATCACATCTTTTGCCGTGCCACCCGCGACGTCTCCAGAGATGGTGTCGCTGCCGGTTGCAAGAAATCAAAGAAAAGCTTAGACACTGCAGATGAGTTGAAAGAAGCAGTCCTTTTGAACTTTGATTGAGAAGGAAGTCCTATGGATAGTTCAAGGTCAATTGCATTTGTACGTGTGGTGTTTTGTTCTCGCAGTGGAGAAGCCTCCTCGGTGGTGCCGCTGCTGCATTTGGTGTCGCTAGACGAGTGTGCTGGAGGCGCCTCATTGTTCAGCAAATTAGTGGGTTTCTCTGATGATGGTGGAGCTGAGTTTCTGAAGTTCAAAGAAATGCTAGCAGTGGTTACCGGAGCCTTGTTGGTGTTGCTGGTGGCGCTGCCGTTGAGTGGACAGTGGGTTTGAGGGTCAATACCATGGCTAATAAGCTTGCGTTTGATGTGCGTGTTCCAGTAATTTTTTATCTCATTATCAGTCCTCCCAGGCAATCTAGCAGCTATCAAAGACCATCTGCAAGGCAACTGAATTAGAATTTTTTTTACAGCAGTAAAAGTAATAAAATATTCTTTCCAGAATGTTGTTAAAATATTCTCATTTCAATTTACCATATTTACTCACTTTGTCAAGTTGCAGAGTTAAAAATGGAGAAAGAAAAGGTAAAAACAGAATCCGCATCCCATTTAAAAGTGAAAAAATCTTACGGTCGATTGAGATCAATATTCACACTATTTTTGTGGTCCTACTAATTCAAGTTTCTCAAAAAAATTAAAAATTTCTGAAAGATGAAGAAAAGAGCATACTTGTTTCCAAGCAAACTGTGAAGTTTGATTATTATATCATCTTCTTCCTCAGTAAAATTCCCTCTCTTGAGATCAGGCCTTAGGTAATTTATCCACCTCAATCTGCAACTTTTACCACACCTCAACAGCCCTAAAATAAGAAAGAAAGAAAGAACACAAACGAGTCGGGGTCAATTGACGGCCGAGTACCAAACAAATGATACGAAATAGGATCATCCAATAAGTTGTACCTGCGGCTTTGGGGAGGGAACGCCAGCAACCTTCACCATGTAAACGGATGTAATTGATGAGTCTTTGGTCTTCTTCTTTGGTCCAAGCGCCTTTGTTTGTGTGAGCTTTATCACAGCAAGGTGAACGTCCCATGGTTCAAAGATTTTCTTTAAAAACTATCCAATAATTCAAGAAACAGATATTTTTCCTTGTACACTGTTTTTCTGGTTTTCTAATGATGTTTGATTGATTGAGAGAGAGTTTGATTTCGGGAAATGGAAGAAGAAGGTATGATATATGAACGAAGAGGTGGTTGGCGTGGGGTGAATAATGGGCAGGTTGGCAATGGATGATGAGAGAGAGGGAAAGAAGAATATGATATAATAAAGAGGGTGGGTGAGTGGGTGAGTTGGCAGAAATTTGGAGAGCTGGTAACAAACAGAGGGAGGGATTTGACCAAGTTGGTGAAAAGGACGAGTAGTAAAAGATGGGGTTGAATTTCGTAGGTAGGTGCACTTTAACAGTTGAGTTGCCTCTTGCTGCGGTCTCTTTCTCTTCTCTCTCTCTCTAGGGTCTAGATTTAGGAGGATTTTTATTGTTGGTCCCTAACATATTGTCTTGTTAGCGAGACATTAACAAGTCTAGATCTAATAAATATTTTCCTAGATTGTTTGCACAAATCATGACACTTGAATTTTGAATTAATCAATTCACGATATCTTGAACATTGAGTGGATAAGAGAAATATAGAGTGGGACAAGCAGATCGACTTGATGTTCGATGTTTCATAATTTGAGCAATTATAGATTCAACGTGTCATTGTTTGATTAGAGTATGTCTACATGTCGAATAGACACAAAAGTTTTTTCTCCACATTTGTTGTCCCGGTCTCATAGTCTCAATGGCACATCAAATTTTGCTATATCACATAATTTTGAAGCATTAAATTTAATTGGGTAATAGCCAATGAGGCAACGAAATGAGGACAACATAAATAAACTTGTTAACAAGGACTTGATGAAAATATGTCTCGTTTTAAAATTTTGAGCATCAATCCAATGTTTTGAAATTATTGGGGACTAATTATGAAAATATAGTGAAATAATTGAGGATTGGTATATTATTTTCTGAAGTTTGGGGACCAACTTACAATTAGAACAATTATTGAGGATTAATAATGAAATTTGCCTCTCTCTCCCTCTCTCCATATATATATATATATATAAAAAGGTTGAACCCCAACCTTAAGGGCCCCTACTGACCCTATCCTGGGCCATCGTGGAGAAGTTAAATCGCAGGATGTGCCTCCCAGGAGCCAGGGTGGAAAGCATATGGATAGGCCAAGACTATTAACCCATATGGTAACTCCCGCTTGTAACAAAGCAAATTCCACCTTGATAGTTAAGGACTTGGTTTTAATTCAACCTAATAAAGTGATTATGAAGTTAATTAGAGATAAAGATTGCTCTTATTGCCACGTGGGTTGATTCTTTCTTTTAAGATGACAATCCATCAAAATTTTCCAGTCGTATATGATTTTTGACCTTGTTTGGAATAAAATTGTCATCCTTTGAATGGATTCTAATGACCTCTCAATTGTCCAAAAAATAAAATAAAAAAATACATTCAATCTTATTACGTTGAGGAGTGACCAAAGTAAATTTTTCTTCTTGTTCATTTGGCACGTCGGACTCATTAATTTGTTGAGTTTCACATTCAATCTATCATTTGCTCTCTTCGACTATTAAGGTAAGAACAAATATTGAATTTTTTTTGAAGTAAGTCCTTGTTTGAGCTCCATTTTATGCAAAATGCATTTTATCTCTCTTCTTTTTAATTGCATAGTTTTCAATAAAATAATATTACAAGTAAATTCAAAAAAAAAATTTCTTTTTTAATTACACATTTCAAAAAAAATAATTATTCTAAAATACATTTTCTCCAAAAACACATTTTAATGAAACACAAACAGAGGCTAAGTCACATGAAATTACGACCTGCCTATACAATTGAGCCATATTAAGACACCCTTTAATTTTTGCTATAGGATCATTTTCACCTACACATTCACACAATAAAATATTTTACGCGTAAACCCAAAACTTTTTCTTACTTTTTAACTACACATTCTTCTAAAAATGCTATTCAAAACTCTTTTTTTTCCTTTTTTCTTTTTTTAATAATGGGAACCATTGAATGCATCTCGACTTGCAATGTTGGTCAATATTTATAGAAGGGATGAAAAGAGAAGGAACAAAAAGCAGAAAAGACTTTTGTTAGTAATTCTAGCATGCTGCAAATCTGCATTTGAAAGTAGAAAATGGACAAAAATGATTTCCATTTAGCATATCTATGCTGTATTTAATAAGTTAAATCACATAATGTTCAATATTGTATGTCAATCATGTTGGTAGTGTAGAGCCTAATATGTTCTCTATATATAAATGGTATAAGGACAAGCTTTCATTCTGGGTGTTATAGTAGAGAGAAAACAGAGATAGACATGAATCCAAAACACATTGCATATCTTTTCTCTGATAGAGTGCAATTTTATAGTGACACCAAGTGGATGTAGCTCTTGCATTAAGAATGAACCACATTATATCATGTGTTTTCTAGCTTTCATTTTTCCTATTTCAAGTTATCCATTGCTCACAAAAGTACAAATTATTAGTTTACTCTACAAAAAAACATGCACCTAGCAAATATCTGAAATGAGTTTTGAAAAGAGTCAATGTAAAGTAGTCTGGTTCAATTAACAGAAACGATCCAAATGCTAGATGCATATCATCAAGAAACTCGAGAAATCCACAACCGAAAGCTTGAAGCTTTAGTGAAGTATCAACAATCAGCTTAGATTCAGTGCAATCTACCTTTCATTCTAAAGCTTTGTAAAGGCCCTGCTAAATCTAGATCATAATACATCAAGAGATAAAGAAGTTGTAGCAACAGCAAAAAGAAAAATGAAAAAGTAATTCAAAAGAATGAGTAAAAACACAGAGAATAAATAGTCTAATTTAGATCCTTGTTGTCCATGGTCAATATGGTATTCTGCTGCTCAAGGAATTCAACCGTTGCTGAGACGTCAATTGTAAAAGTCAAATGTGCGAGCGATATCATTTACCTGTAGAAATTGGACAGTCCTCTCCCTCCAATTGACCTATGTACTGAAGTTTTACCCTTGATCGGTGACCAGTGTTCCTGCCTCGTAATCTCTTAAGTTTGCAAGGATATTTATCATAAACGATAACAATCAGATTACACAATATGTAGGGAAAATGACAACATTAAAAGGAGAAAATGCGAGATTAGCCTACAATATTTTGTAAGGTAGTCATAGACATATTTTTAGTTGTTAAAAAATGATTACGCAACATGAAAAACGATATCCTCCACATAGTTAGGATTTAGGGATTGATTAAAATGCAGGAGGGAGTGATATATTGTGTTGTCCGATGTTGCACAAGTGGGACAAGGCTAGGTCCAGCCAACGCTGCGGTATAAATACATATTGGCAGAGTACAGAAGCAAATATGATTAGCATACTTGAAGGAACAGACCCTGTGTTAATCACTCAACTTTTTATATTTCAAAAGTAGAGGGATAAGGTGCTGATTGTCAAGAAAACTATTGGTGAAAGGCTGCAATCAGAATGCTTACTGTTTAGCATCCGTCTAGGGTGCAGAAGGCTCAGCTTTCTCAATAGATTCCTCTCTGTTCTGCTCTTTAGCTGAAGTAGATACCACTATATTTGATTCCTGCAGTAAATCACCAGTTTTATGTTTCATACTATTTGTCATTCAAAACCTCTTTATCCCCTCTTCGGAGGCCTTTTTTTGGAAAAACATTATTTTATATATTGATTTTTTGGAAATGTGTGGTTAAAATAGGAAAAAATTTTGAATTTACATGTAAAATATTTTATTGTAAAAAAAAAAAAGAGTTGAGAGAGAATGAGAGTAAACTTATTTCTTCCAATGAGCCTGTATTGGTCTCGATGAAAGTGCTGTTTGAAACTTTGCAATGTACCAAATTTCTTGATCCAACTGAAGTCCCAAAATATCCATTTTCGTGTGTGTGTGTATATATTTGGATTTGTTCCTTATGTAAAGCGTCTCTATAGCTTGTCCTAAGTACTGATAAGTGTCACTTGCTGAGCACCTGTTAAAATATGGGTGTGACCCGAATTCTTTGTTGAAGATAATTGAGAGTTCTAATCAAAGTACACATTAAGAGAAATTTTATTTGAAATGATTTTGGAATCCTATTCGAAGTTTATTGGACAATTCTAGTTGAAATTTTATTTGGAAGCCTATTGGGAGTTGAAATATGTGTTGGACTTAAAAAACTCATGATAAGAAAACTTTTGGACATTTCATTTCATCTACAACACTACTTCCAAGGTTTGAATTGTTCTCTATATACAGTTGGCTCTTCATTGTATTTTAGAATAAATTAGAAACATTGTAAACACATAACAGAGTCTCCATCTTCTGTAAATTATTTTCATCTTGTACTTTTTACTTCATATAATTGTCTTAATCTCTTATCTCCTCATAACAAATTTGTATCGAAACTCTTCCACTTTCAATAAAGTGGTTTCAAATCTGATCAGATTCATAACAAGTGGCATTAGAGCTCAGACTTAAATCTTGGGGAGATCGGGATTTTATTTTTTCGTGATGACAACTATGAAGTATGATATTTCGCTATTAGATTGCAATACAAGATTCCCTTTGTGATGGGTAAAGATGTGAGCAATACTCACTCAGATGGAGTTTGACAAGATGCCTACAACTTGGACCATGGAGGAGAAACAATGGAGGGATCATAAGGCTCTATCTTAAATACTTCTTTGACTTTTTAATAATATTCTTCAGGACATTTTAAATGAGAAGTCAGCTGTTGCTTTATGCTTACAATTGGAGTAATTATGCACGACGAGGAGTCTTACTAGCAAATTGCATTTAAAGCAATGTCTATTTTCTCATCGTATGATAGAAGGTATTGTTCGTGTGAAACCCACCAGTGTACAGAATCGTTGACAAGTAACATAATTAATGAGTTGATAATATCGTCCCACATGAAATAAAATCTAATTCAAGTTTACCAGTTATATATGAAATTCAAATTATATAAAATAAAAGAGATATTTTGATTTGATTTTTGCTAAATTAATTTAAGAAATCTATAAAAGTGTGGTTTTTATCAAGTTATGAACGATTGAATTGGATTTCGACTCTGTCAATAGTGATCTATTTCAATTCTTGATTTATAATCTAGTTCCAATAATGCTTTCATGACAATCAACAAAGCTATTATATTTAACTTTCTTTTTCAAAACAAATTAATTATATCATAACCATG